TATCTTTCTATCTTTCTATCTTTCTATCTTTCTATCTTTCTATCTTTCTATCTTTCTATCTTTCTATCTTTCTATCTACCTACCTAACTACCTAACTACCTAACTACCTAACTACCTCAAGAACTCTGGTGCAGAAGTTAGAATGCAGTATTGCAGGCTGACTCTGCCCACAGCCAGCAGTTCCATCCTCACCGGCTCAAGGTTGACTCAGCCTTCCACCCTTCCATGGTCAGTAAAACGAGGACCCAGATTCTTAGAGATCCAATATGCTGACTCTGTAAAACCACTTAGAGAGGACTATAAAGCACTGTGAAGCTGTATATAAGTCTAAGTGCTATTTCTACTAAGAAATACTGGGGTGATTCACTTAACAACTGCAGCAAGAAAGGTAATAAAATGGGGGCAAACTCGCTTAACATCTGCCTCACTTTAGTGACAGAAATTTTGGACTCAGTGATGTTCGTCAAGTCAAGGACCATCTGTCCATCCAGAATGTGGTGGAAGAACGGGCTCCATTCACATGCTCCATAATCTGATAATTGACTGTTTGATATTTGATCAGCATTTGCTTCTCATTTCTTCACGTAGAAATGGCAACAGCAGGACTCGGTGTCACTTCAAGGGGGCCTTCTCTCAACAATGCTTGATTGACTCTCACCGTCACTAAAAGAAGTGCCTAATTACCACTGCTGACATCTCCGTGGCTCTCAACAGATTTTCCCCACAACGAGGAAGGCGGTTTTGTTGAGAAAGACACCTGGCCTGCGCACCTCTGATCTTTAACGGGGGTGGAAAAGGGGGAAAAAATGTGCTTACATATGGATATGAAAACAAAGGCACTTTTGATTTCATGACGAATTTGCAGGCACGTGGAAACGCTGGGTTATTTGCGGAGGGCTTAGCCGTCAATCAAATGGGGAGGTAGGCAGACAAAGGGGGAAAAACAGATGCAAAAAGAAAGAGGATTTTGCTAATAGAAATGTGTGTCCCTGCAATGCAGTGGCATTTGATTTAGAAAGCAGAGGGGGGGAAGGCCCTTAAGCAGGGCAGAGATGCCTTCAATGGTTTACAACCACAATCTCGACACTGCCTGAATGCTGGAGAGGTTATGGGGTGGAAACAGTCATGCTTTTGACCTGTCCTTGATCAAGAAAATGATATCCCTCCCCTTTTTTTTTNAAATCTCACCGGCTCAGGGTTGACTCAGCCTTCCATCCTTCCGAGGTGGGTAAAATGAGGACCCAGATTGTTGTTGGGGGCAATAGGCTGACTCTCTGTAAACTGCTTAGAGAGGGCTGAAAGCCCTATGAAGCGGTATATAAGTCTAACTGCTATTGCTATCTGCATGGCTTCCTCCGAAAGATGTATTTAGCCCCTTTAGTCAATTCACCCGTGATTTAAAAAGTTCTCCTTGCTGTCTTGGGGGCGGGAGGGGGTTGTGCAAAATCTGCATAGTTGAATGGAGCACTAGATTGAGAAAAAAGAAAAGAAAAACACTCAGCATATTGGAAAAGCCATTTGCTAGCACATTGATAACTCACATTGAGAAATACAAACTTTTCATAAGGATGAGCATGGAAGAGCATTTTCAGGGTATCGATTCCACGTTCTGGACAGTTGAAAATGTACCGAAGAGGCCGAACGCTGCAAGCCATTAGGACGGCAGTCTTCAGTGGGGTATTGATTAGGTGCAGTAACACTAAACAAGGCAAATCAATAGCGAGGACAGATTATTCTTTGGGCTGTCATCACTCAGTTGTATAAACAATATCCCCCCCCCCCCATCAGCAGAGTTATTGGAACAGATTAGCAGGGATTGTCTAGGGAATGGCTTTTTGATAATCCTCTCCTGCTTTCTGCAGCCATTTGGTGAAGGGAAGGACTTCTGCTGGTGGCTTGCCATCATCAGAGGGCTATAAAATAGCGATAGCCATAGCACTTAGACTTGTATAACACTTCATAGTGTTTTACGTCTCTCTCTCTCTCTAAGTCAGTAAAATGTTGGCCCGGATTGTTGGGGGCAAGAGGCTGACTCTGTAAACCACTTAGAGAGGGCTGTAAAAGCACTGTGAAGCAGTATATACAGTAAGTCTAGGTGTTATTGCTAACTATCATCCATCATATATCTCTCTGTTTATCTATCTATCTATCTTTATCTATCTTCTGTCTATCTACAATATCTATCATGCCTATCTGTCTCTCTAGCTGTCTATATTCATTATCTATCTATCTATCTATCTATCTATCTATCTATCTATCTATCTATCTATCTATC